TGGTATAAACTCAAATTAGAATATTATAACTTTAGAATATTAAATATAATCCCCATGGTAACTATAGATACAGAAAGTAGAATAGTGGTTGCCTGGGACTGGGGAGGATGGAGAATGGGGAATTATCATTTAGTGGGCAGAGAATTTCAGTTTTGCAAATTGAAAACAATTCTGGAAATGGATGATGATATGTTGGTTGTACAACAGTGTGAATGTACTTAATGCCACTGAACTGTACTCTCAAAAATGGTTAAAATGGTAAATTTTATATTATGTATATTTTACCCCAACTTAAAAAATAAAATTTAAAATGGATTTGATAGTCATGAATTTAAGATAACATTATGGTTTTGTGTCTTTTCTGTACTCCAACTTACCTGTGTGGATGCAGGCACAGATTCAGTGAAGATCTGAGTTTCTCAAGGTTGTAAGACAATAAAGGTTATGTGAGAAAGGGGTCAAAGAGTTAAAAGACTATATACAAAGGATGACATTAATGACCGAGTGTGGAATGTAAGCTGATCACTGAAACTCTAGCTATTAAGATCAGATTGGTAGCAGGAGGAAGGAGGAAACAACAAAGGGGTCCTGACCCTAATGAGTCAACTTCCTTTAACCCTTCTTCCTGGAAGTCCCAAATACTTACATTTTAGAGGCCAGACTTAAGTTATGTGCTATACGTGGCTGTGGGGGATCCTGGAAAATACATTTTTTATTCTGAGGAACAATGCGTCCTGCTAAAAACCACGTTGTTTACTAGGAAGAAGGGGAGAATGCATGCAGAAAGCAACGAGCCTCCTCTGTCACAGTTTGAAGTAGCGTCCTGCTTAATGAGTCTCTTTGGGAAAGAGAATTACAGGGGGAAGGGGATATTCTCCTTTCATCAGAGCTAGTCACAAGGCCATCAGGGCAAAACGTGTGAGTTATAGTTTTACAACGGTATGTTTTTTGCTCATCGATTCATCATCTTCTTCTCCCTCAGGCATACTTATCTTTCAAGTCATAAGAATCTTCATGAAGCTTCTTTACAGAAGCTTCTTTCAGGAAAAGATCTGATAAACCCAATTCCATTATAGTTTAAATGACTGATAAAGTTTAGAGTCACTCATCTGAACAGTGGAAGTACTTTTAAAGGGGATGAAACCTTAAGCCTAAACGTATGACATCTCATTGGAGTGGATCTCTAGCTTAGAAAGTAGAAACAGTTTAAAGGATATAGGGAGCTTCCTGTAACCTCTGTAATGATGGCACCTTGGCCATCCCCTATCTGAATACTCCTAGGGATATCACTGGCCAGAGCTACATGGTTCAGTCTTTTACACTGTTAATCTGGCAGCAACTACATTCAGTCTGAGACCAAATAAAAAGGAGCATTTTGCAATTGGATTGAATAAAGGTTAATGGTATAAAAGATACAGAAATCACAGATAGCCGTGGGACTCAGACTTCTCACAACTCAATCAGTGAATGCTGGGAAGTTGAGTTAACCTCATGACATCCAGCAAAATTGGCCGAGGATACGTTTTTGCTTGTGAACAGAAGCACATTTCCTTTTCTGCTCATTGAATAGTCAAATCGAATTGACTGATGGTTTGTCACATGCCACCAAGAGATATCTTAGTTAGCACATCTGATAGTCTACAGAATAGGAATGCTGCTTAACATGAATTTTATTGCATCTCAGCACCTGCTCCAGCCAACAGTTATTACTATCTAGGGAGGCTGTGCTCAGATTATCATTATTCCTGTATCTTTGCATTTGTATTCTGCAGACCACTGTGCAAGGTAAAATTGATGAATGGAGGCACTGATTGTGAACGGCAGAAACCTCCGGCTGCAAGTCCTTTGCAAGCCTGGAATATTAGGAAAGGTCAGGAGGGGGAGTTGTTTATATAATTGGAATTGCTGTCTAGATACACTAGCCTTTCTCTCTCTTCTCTCTGATTTCGCCTCCTTCCCCCCACCTTCCCTCCCCACCGTCTTTGTCTGTCTCTCTGCTCCACTAACATTCATCTAGGTGTTTTATTGTAATGAGACAGGGAAAAATATGTAGTAACCAGGACAAAAACTGTTAGACCAAAAATCCAAATCTTTGATCAGTAGAATAAGTGCTGGAATTGTAAAATTCCATGTATTAGAGATAGGGATAATCGCTCACGTAGCCAGAACAATCCTTGAGATACTGAAAGGCTGCCTTACCAAGTGGTACACATCTGCTGCCCCAAGCCCTTTGAATACACCCTTGCCACAGAGTGCCTTGGTAGGTCCTTAAGGGTCCTAAGACCCTTAAGATTGCCTTCTTTGCCTAGAAACTGAAGAGTTAGACTTTGTCATGGCAGGGGGCCCTCAGGAAGCAGCTTCTGGTGTCTAATCTGACTGTTATAAATCCATGTCACATTGGTTGTTAACTGCTAGAAAAAGTCTCAAACAGAGGAGGCTGCTGTGGGATAGGAAAAATGAAGTGAATTTCTCCTGTGTAATGCACTGGCTTTTTGTTTTCCACTTAGCTCTCTTGGGCCTTTGGTGAGGAGCTGAATCATTATTCTTTCACTTCTCAAACTGTCTCTTTTTAGGCAGGGAGTATCCACTCTGTCTGAGTACATGAGATAAAGCAAAAGGACATGCTCAATCCATAGGTCAGGGATGGCTGCAGATCATCTTGTGGAGCCTGTTGTAACCCTGGCACTCTTGGCTCATTAATCTGTGAAATGGATTTACTACTACATATCATTATCTGTAGGTATCCTTTTATCGAGAAGGTCCTGTGGTGTTCCAGAGGGATTCAATTTTCCCTTTTGGATATTTCTTTCCTCCAAAATTCAATAGGTATACAAATGCATCCTTTCTGTTTAGCAAGATTCATGTCTTTTCAGTCTCAGTTAACAATGGTGTTCTTGACAGAAACTGCATCCTCTGCCACGTTATAATATGCATTTCTTTGAACCATTTGTATGTTGTGTGTGAATGGGTCTGTGCAGATTAAAATAGCACTGAGAGAGCCAATTTAAGCCTTGGGATGAGTGAGCGGAGCATTAGAGACATTCTGGCACACACACCCCTCGTAAATACCGTTGTTAAGGTTGTTAAGTTGCAGTGGCTGTGATGGAATGTGCAGCTCCGCCACTTTACCCTCGTTAGTGCAGAAGTAAATTGTCAGGGCTCACACACAGCTCCGAGGGGATTAAAGGAGAGGGAATGGAAAATGCTTTCTGAAATCTGATAACTACACTCTGGTACCCTGAATTGCAAAGACACCAGTAAAAAAGGCTAACAACTTTGCTGATTTTACCCTTGTATGCTAATTAAATACACGCAATTGTTTAGTGAAAGGAAATCAGTATGGCTTTTAGCATGTTCAAAAATGGGTTAGTACTAGAAACAAGTCTTCTATAAATAGTTCATGGATAAGATATGGTAAATGATGGGAAATTGCTGAAGATGAGTCTCATGATGTTATGCTGGTAATTAAATATCCATTTTTTCCCCCCAAAATTTGTATTAAGTAACAAATGTATTGACCTGATATGCTCATCTGTTAGAGCAGTGTTTTTCAACTTTGTAGGGACATTTGAATCTCCTGGGGAGCCTTACGTCCTACCCAAAGAGATTCTGATTTATTTGGTCTGCGGTGTGATCTGGGCATCAGAATTTAAAAAATCTCCCTGGGGAATTAAAATTTTTTTCCACCTTTATTGAGATATAATTGACAAATGAAACTGCGATATACTTAAAGTACAGTGTGATGATTGGACATACATATAGACTGAAAGGATTCGCAAGACCAAATTAATTAATACATCTGTCACCTCACATACTTTCTGTTTGTTTTTTGGTTTTGTTTATTATTATTATTATTACTATTATTATTACTACTACTACTACTATTATTATTATTATTATTTTGGTGAGAACACTGAAGATCTACTCTCTTAGTGAAGTTCAGTTATAAAATAACAGTGTTATCAACTTATAATCACCATGCTATATACATCAGCTCCTCAAAATTTATGCATCTTATAACTGACAGTTTATATGCTTTTACCAACCTCTCTCCATTTTCCCCAACATCCAACCCCCAGCAACGACCATCCTATTTTCTATTTCTATGAATTCAACTTTTATTTTTTACATTCCTCATATAATAAGCAATACTGTGTAGTATTTGTCTTTCTGTGTCTGGCTTATTTTACTTAGTGTAATGCCCTTGAGGTTCATCCGTGTTGTTGAGAACCCCAGGGTGAGAACCATTTTAAACCCTTTAGTTTAGAATAAGGTGCCTTATTGACACGAATGCTTTAAAAAAGTAAGAAATCATTCACTGATAGCTATATATTGTGAATATACATGTATTTTTTAAACTATAGTGGCTCAGAAAATAACTATTTAAAACTTTTAAGACTTAGAAACATTTGAATTCAGAGATTTAATTTTTAATGGAATCTATCTAGAAATATTTTCATAGCTTAGTATAAAATTATAATATATAAATTTTATAGAAATTCAAAACTCTATATATTTTGGATTTTACAGTATCTTTAGGAAAGCAAAATTTCTGAGCACACGTAGTTAATGGTTTTAACGAGAGATGTTTTCCTGCAAGTACTTAGCAAGAGCAAAGATATTTCTATTTAACAAAGTAATATTTACTTCTCACTAGAGGGAGAGAGACAATAATCTAGATTCATTGAAGATAACAGCGAATGAATGCTGATGAAGGTTTGACTGATTTGATTATAGTTAATTAAGAGCAGTTTTTCTGAGATTGCAACCTGCTCTATATCAGAGGTGATGGAGATCATTTTGACACATCAAAGTCTGTGAGTTGAGTGAAGTCTTTAAGAATTTTGAGGTCAGAGTAAGGCTTTGATGTAATTATTTATCATTTGCTTGGCTACTGGCATAAAGAATAAAGACACTTCATTAGTAACTTAAAATGCTTTTGGTGAGGCCTGTTTAAAGTGCCCATTAAAAAGCATTGTAATTGTTTTTTCTTTTTCCAGAAACAAAGTCAACTTTCTCACCAGTCTTTTCTAAATCTGAGTTGGAAAAAATGTGAGTATTTAATTTTTTTTTGTTGTTTCTTAATGGAAGTATAGTTGACATACGTTAGTTTCAGGTGTACAATATAGTGATCCAACATTTCTGTTTATTATGAATTGATCACCACAATAAGTCTAGTAATGATCTGTCATTGTACAAAGTCACTGCAATGTTATTGACTATATTCCCTGTGTTGTACGTTATATCCCTGTATTTTGTAACAGGTAGCTTGAACCTCTTGATCTCTTCCACCTATTTTACCTAACCCCCAGCCCACCTCCTGTCTGGTGACAAGCAGTTTATTCTCTGTATCTATGAATCTGTTTCTGTTCTGTTTCTTTGTTTTTACATTCCACATAAAAGTGAAATCATATGGTAATTGTGTTTCTCTGACTTATTTCACTTAGCATAATACCCTCTAGGTACATCCATGTTGCCACAGATGGCAAGATTTTGTTCTTTTTTATGGCTGATTAATATTCCATTGTGTACCTATATATATGTATATATATGTGTGTGTGTGTGTGTGTGTGTGTATGACTCTTTATCCATTCTCCTATCAATGGACTACTTAGATTGCTTTCATATCTTGGCTATTGTAAATAATGTTGCAATGAATGTATAGATGTATGTATCTTTTCTAATTAGTGGTTATTTTTAGTATTTTTGTTTTCTTCGGATAAACACCCAGAAGTGGAATTGCTGAATCATATGGTATTCCTATTTTTGATTTTTTGAGGAACTTCCATACTGTTTTCCGTAGTGGCTGCACTAATTTGCATTCCCAACAACAGTAGGGGAGAGTTCCCTTTTCTCCACACCCTCTTCAGCATTTATTATTTGTAGACATGTTGATTATGGCCATTCTGACTGGGGTGAGATGATACTTCATTGTGATTTTGATGTGCATTTCTCTAATAATTAGCAGTGTTGAACATCTTTTTATGTCCCTGTTGGCCATCTTGATGTCTTCTTTGGAGAAATGCCTATTTAGGTCTTCTGCCCATTTTTTGGTTGGGTCACTTGTGTTTTTGGTATTGAGTCATTATAAGCTGTTTGTGTAGTTTGGATGTTAACCTCTTATCGGGTATATCGTTTGCAAATATCTTCTCCCACTCAGTAAAGTGCCTTTTCATTTTGTTAATGGTTTCCTTCACTGTGCAGAAGCATCTTAAGTTTGAAGTAGTTCCCACTTCTTTATTTTTGCTTTTGTTGTCCTTGCCTGAGGGGGCCAATCCAAAAAAATATTGCTAAGACCAGTGTCAGAGAATGTACTGACTATGTTCTCTTCTGGGAGTTTCATGGTTTCAGGTTGTACATCTAAGTCTTTCATCCATTTCGAGTTTGTTTTTGTATATGGTGTAAGAAAGTAGTCCAGTTTCATTCATTTGCATGTAGCCATCCAGTTTTCCAGATGCTATTTATTGAACAGGCTGTCTTTTCTGCACTGTATGTTTTTGGCTCCATGGTTGTGAATTCATTGACCATATAAGCACGGGTTTATTCCTGGGCTCTGTATTCTGTTCCATTGATCTGTATGCCTATTTTTGTGCCTGTTACACAGTTTCGATTACATGGCTTTCTTGTAGAGGTTGAAATCAGGGAGAGTGATACCTCCAGCTTTGTTCCTCTTTCTTAAGATTTCTGTGGCTATTCAGGGTCTTTTGTGTTTCCATACAAATTTTAGAATGATTTGTTCTAGTTCTGTGAAAATGCCAGTGGTATTTTGATAGGGATTGCATTGAATCTGTAGATTGACTTGGGTATTATGGTCATGTTGACAGTATTAATCCTTCCAATCCAAGAGCATGGTATAGCTTTTCATTTGTTTATGTTGTCTTCAGTTTCCTTTACCAAAGTCTTACAGTTTTCCAAGCACAAGCCTTTTATCTCCTTGGTTAGATTTATTTTTAGGTATTTTATTCCTTTTGGTTCAAATGTAAATTGAATTGTTTTCTTAATTTCTCTTTCTGATACTCTTGTTAATGTATACAGATTTCTTCTTTATGTTAATTTGTATCCCACAACTTTACTGAGTTCTTTTGTTAGTTCTAATAGTTTTTGGGTGGCATCTTTGTGATTTGCTATGTATAATGTCATGCCATTTTACTTCTTACTTTCAAATTTGAATTTCTTTAATTTTTCTCATCTGATTGCTGTGGCTAGGACTTCCAATATTATGCTGAATGAAACTGGTGAGAGTGGGCATCCTTGTCCTGTTCTTGTTCATAGTGGAAATACTTCCAGCTTTTCACCACTGAGTATGATGTTGGCTATAGGTTTGTCATATATGGCTGGTGTCAGCCTGCTGGTGGGCAGGGCCAGAGTCTCTGGGGTTCCTGGGGCTAGTGCCAGCTCACTGGTGGTTGGGACTGGATTCCTCAGCCACTGGCTGAGGCCCCCAAGGTGTCCCAGAGCAGGTGTTGGCCTGCTGATGGGTTAGCCCTGGGGCCCAGGGTGTCCCAGGGCTGGTGCCAGCCTGTTGTTGTGTTGTCTGCGTCCCAGTAAGGCAGGCTGCAGGGCTTCAGTTGTCCTGGGGCTGGTGCCTGCCCACTAGTGTTGATGCTGGGTCATGGGACTAGTGCTGGTGCACTGGCTGGCGGAGCCGGGTCCTGGGGTCTCTGACTGCAGAGCCCAGGGGTCACAGAACTAGTGTCAGACCACTGGTGGCTGGTGCTGAGGCCCAGGGGTCTCAGGGCTAGTGCTGGCTCACTGGTGGACAGAGCTGGGGCCTGGGATCTCTGGCAGCAGGGCCCTGGGGGTCCTGGAGCTGATGTTGGCCTGCTGGTGGGTTCCAGGGCCCAGGAGGTCCTGGGGCTGGGGCCTGCCCACTGGTAGGTGAGGCTGGTTCCAAGTTTAAAGCCACCTTGCTGGGGCTAGTGCCTGCACATTGGTGTGTGGGGCCTGGTTCTGGGTCCTCTGGTGGACAGGGCTATGTCTTGGGGTGCCTGTGGGCTCAGGGGACTCAAGGCAGCCTGCTGGCAGGTGGGGCTGTGTTCCTGCCCAGCTGGTTGCTTGCCCTGAGGCATCCCAGTCCTGGGACCTACAAACTGGTGGGTGGGGGCGGGTGTGTGTCCTGAGACTGTTAAGCTAGAAGGAAGATTCCACAGTGGCGTTTGCCAGCACCAGTATCCGTGTGGTTAAACAAGCTCCCCAAAATAGCTACTGCCGGTGTCTGTGTCCCCGGGGTGAGCTCCAGGGGCCTCCTGCCTCTCCAGGAGACTCTTTAAGATCTGCAGGTGGGTGTGACCCAGGCTCTTTTCAAATGACTGCTTCTGCCCTGGGTCCTGGAGTGTGTGAGATTTCGTGTGCGCCCTGTAAGAGTGAAGTCTTTGTTTCCCACAGCCCTCTGGGTCATCCAAAAGGAAGACCCCCCTGGTCTTCAAAGCCAAATAAATGTTCTAGGGGCTCATTTTCCCAGTGCAGGATCCTTGGCTGGAGAGCCTGATGTGGGTCTCAGACCCACTGATCCTTAGTAGTTATTGTCCTTCCACGTGTGCCGCTCTCCCGGGGGTGTGGCTCTTCACTGTGCCTCGCCTCCACCCCTCCTACCTGTCTTGTTGCAGTTCCTTCTTTATAATTTAGTTGTAGAAGATCTTTTATGGTAGGTTTCAGTTTTTCTCATCAGTAGTTGTTCTGTAAATAGTTACAGTTTTGGTGTGCCCATGGGAGGAGGTGAGCTCAGGGTCTTCCTACTGTACCATCTTGATAAAGCCTCTATTTTTTGTATATCTGTTATATAAGATTTTGGTTTATGATTATCATAGTGTTCATATGTAAGACCTGTGTAAATAGCAGTCTGTGTTAAATTGATGGTCGCTTAAGTTTGAGTGCATTCCAAAAGCACTGCATTTTCACTCTCTGTCACCCCCCATTTTATATTTTTGATGTCATACTTTGCACCTTTTTGTTTTGTGTATCATTTTACTATTTATTTTGGATGTAGATGGTTTGACTACTTTTGTCCTTTAACCTTCCTTATAGGTGGTTAATTCACTGCAATTAGTATAAATTTGTATTTACAATTGAGATGTTTTTTTCTTTCGTATTTTCTTGTTTCTAGTTATGACCTTTCCTTTTCACTTAAGGAAGTACCTCTAACATTTCTTGTAAGTCTAGTTTAGTAGTGATGAATTCCTTTAGCCTTTGTCTGGGAAACTCTTTATCTCTCTTTCAATTCTGAATGATAACCTTGCTGGGTAGAGTATTTTTGGTTGTAAGTTGTTTCCCTTTCTTTAACTTTCGAAATTTAAATTATAATGTGTCTTGATGTGGGTCTCCTTGGGTTCATCTTGTTTGGGGACTAACTGCTTCCTGGATTTGTACATCTGTTTTCTTAACCAGGTTAGGGAAGTTTTCAGCCATTATTTCTTCAAATAGTTTTTATGTCTTTTTCTCTCTCTCTTCTCCTTCTGAGACCCCCATAATGTGAATGCTAATACATTTGATATTGTCCTAGATGTCTCTCAAACTCTCCTCATTTAGTTTTTTTTCTTTTGCTATTTCAATTGGGTGATTTCTAGTATCATGTCTTCCAGATTGCTGGTCTATTCTTCTGTATTCTGTGTTCTCCTGCTGTTGATTCCCTCTAGTGTATTTTTTTACTACAGTTATTGTATTCTTTGGTTCTGATTTTAAAAAAAAATTTTTCTATCTTTTTGTTGAAATTCTCATTGACCTTACCCATTCTTCTCCCGAGTTCAGTGAATATCTTTGTGACAATTATTTTGAACAGTTTATCTGGTAAATTGTTTATCTCTGTTTTGTTTATTTCTTTTTCTGAGATTTTTCTCTTGTTCTTTCATTTGGAACATATTCCTTGTCTCCTTATTTTGTCTAACTCTGTATTTTTTTTCCTACATTTTAGATAGAACAGTTCCATCTCCCAGTCTTGAAAGAGTGGTTTTACGTAGAAGGTGTCCTTTGGGCCCAGTGGCCTCATGTTCGCCAGAGCCAGATGCACCAGGGGTTTCCCTTGTGTGGGCTGCATGTACCCTCCTGTTGTGGTTGGG